GTCTCTCCCTCCTCGCCGCCGCCGCCGCCGCCTTCGGACGGCTCGACGGTGACGCGCCACGTCGCGTCATCTTGCAGGTCGGCCTTGACGACGCGGCGGCCCAGCTCCACCTCGGCGCCGCGGCCGTAGCGGTCGAGGTACCGCTCGAGGTACCGGCCGACCATCCAGGCGCGCGGGAACTCGGGGTCCTCGGGGGCCCAGGCGAGGTCGCTGAACTGCACGGTGTGACGGCTCTGGTTGACCGCCATGAGCGGGTGGACGAGGCCGTCGGCGTCGCTAGCGCGGGTGGGCCAAAGGCCGCCGACGCGGCGCTGGGCGTCGTAGACGGTCACGGTGAAGGCGCCGGCGGGGGCGTTGTGGAGGAGGGTCTTTGCGGCGACGAGGCCGGACGGGCCGGCGCCTACACGGGAAAGAGAGGGTGAGCTCGGATCGGATACGGGAGATTTCAGGGGTTCATACCGACAATGCAGACGCGTTTGGCCATGACGAGGTGGTGACAGGGGTGATGGGGGACGAAGGTGGGATGTGAGGGAGAGAGATGCCCCTCACTATGAAATTATCCCTGTCAGGTGGTGAGAGCTGCTGGAGGGTGGGGAGAGAGAGAGGATTGAACGGTGGTGTATGAATGAGCTGCGGACCAGTCAGCGTTTCATCCAACTCAGCCCACAATGATAGGTGAGGACCGGCAGACCGCACCGCAGAGCGTCGTCGTCAGCAGTCGTCTTCAGCAGTCCACACGAATGGAGAAGGGAGAGGGGGGGGTTCAGTGGGAAGAAGTTCTCACGTCAGAAACGCCGCCGCCGAAAGCGCCATGTCGTGCGGTCGGGGATTGGCGGTGATTGTGGGGCTTGTCGCCGATCGAGACCGGCGCTATCCGTCGTGACCTTAGTCAGCATGTCTGGGCGAGCCGGCAAGGCCGTCAGCCAGCGGTGACGGACAGGCGCCAGCTGGTGCTCTTATTCCTCCTCTCTGTCTTGTCATCACCTCGTCGATATATTGTTGCACCTAACTGTACCGTACCTCGATCAGACGCATCTCATTGTTGGTAACCCCTCCCCCCCTCCCGGCGTCAAGGGACCGGATTGCGACAGAAGTATTGACCGTCAGTTTGGCTAGCATTCCCGCAGGTCGCCAAGCCAGGGCTTCGGGTCCCGTTACGGCCGGTACGGGCCCAGATGCCCCAGCCAAATCTCGGGGTGCCTGTCGTCGGCTTCTTGCAGCGACTCCTGTAGCCGTTCGGACAACTCCTCGACATTGGACAGCGGCTGTACACTGGAGACTAAATTTTGTCTAGTCAAGCTGGCTGCGGCCTTGGTTGGGTGCAGGCTTGCTGTTCCGGGAGACGTGAGGATAATAAAGTCATCGCTTCTAGTTTGCCAACTAAGGATCACCACCCACCCACCCACCCCAGCTCATGCGTGATGCAGATCCCGACCTCGCACACACCGCCCATTACGTATTGGCTGCGAGCTTTCAATCCGAATTCCAATCACGACCGGCGGGGGATTTGGTTTGGTCTCATTCAAATGCACGCCGATTACCCTCCTACCAAACAGCCCCGGCAGGATGCATTCGTCTGGATGACCAGTACTCATTCGCGGAACGGGCAGCTGCATAGTATCGCCGTCGCATACGGTACTATCGTCTCAACCGAAAGATCTGTGCCATTGGCGACGTGGCCTCTCTGGTTGCTGCTGCTCTTCCTCGCCGTCCTCTTCGCTTCGTACCACCGCAACACAGATCTCGAACAACGGCGTCACCACCCCTTGTCCTCACGTGGGCACCACCCGTACCGAAACCCCACTTGCCTGTTTTCCCATTCAGACGCTCCGTGGCGGCTGCGGCGGCGACGCATCACCTGGACAATTACGGCCCTCGATACTTGTTGAGGTTACTGTTGGTCTGGCAGCACGCTCTGCCGCCAAGGAGGCGCTTGTGCTACCTAGCTTACCCGGTGTTCAATCGGTGAATGAATGTCAAGATGCCTGGCTTGCAGACGAGTTTCCGCTCGTAACTGGCAGGCGATACTTGCACACGCGGGGCATTGCCGGGCATAACGCACGCAAGCGGTATTATTCCCCAAGTTCCTGCGGCCTTTGGATTTCCCCATGTAGCCTTGCCTCAATCTCCCATTCACAGAAAGTCTTCTTGTCGGAAAATGAGATCTAGCAAATGTCTATTCCCTCGGGCGGATAAGTCGGTACGCCTCTGTCCCTTGCTCAAAACGCCACCTTGGATCAAAAGTTCGTCCCAAGACGGGGTTTCGTGTATTTTCCCTGGGACTGCAACACTTCCACCAAGTACCTGGTGTAACCTGGATGCCCCGGGCGTCAGCTGCAGAGATCAAGGTGCTCTTGATGTCGTCTCAATTGCCGAAATTCAGAAGCCAAGAAAGATTCAGCTGTCCCAGAGAAAACAATCCGATGCAAGAGAACTGCGAATTCATTGGCTTGAACCCTCATCATCTGGGCAAGATAATAGACTGCCGAGACTCCTATTCTATGTTGGCTCATCGATACGGATACACTGGTTTAAGCAATCCTAAAGTTTTTGTCTCGAATCTTATCATCATTGATAGGAAATGTCTGGCTGAGCACAGTTCTTGCCTCGGATAGTTCCTGTTGTCGCCAAGTCGAACAGACGTCTATTGATGACGGGTCTTGCTCGCCGTGCAAAGCTGCTTCGCTTCAACGTGTCTGTCTAGTTTGATAAGGCATGCACGTTCCATCGCAGGGTTTCATTGCCGAGTGTATCCCGAAGTCCTATACAGTAAAGGAAGGTTGCTCACCCCCCCCGCGCACATGCCACCGTTACGGGCACGTACGGTGTTCCTTATATTGACCAATCTCCCGCCGTCCTGGTCCGGCTTTCGTCATGATCGCGCCACCTCACATCCGAAGCCACGGGTAGACCAAACTCTGCATCATCGGCCTTATCCACTTCAATCCCATCCACATTCATCAATCCTACTATCGTTCCTTGAGGAGACGAACCGCAGCAGACCAACCGCAGCTTTGTTCAACACATCAATATAGCATCACAATGGACAACATCGAAAAGGCCAGCGCCTCCCACACGTTAGACGACGGCGGACAGGTCGGCGTGCATGACCTGGATGCTCATCTCAGTGAAGAGGAGAGACTGGATGTGGTAAGCGAGCAACGACATATTGCAGCGCGCTGAGAAGTGTTCAAATTTCTAATATGTTGCCCAATATAGGACCAAAAGCTGGTTAGACGGCTTGACTGGATGCTCATCCCATGGGTACTTGATTGCGATCTCCTGAATCATGTCTTCAAGCAAGTCTGGCTGACCAATCTATAGCTTTGCATACTTTACCTGCTAGCGTTTCTTGACAGAACAAACATCGGAAATGCAAAGATCGCCGGCCTGAACCACGACCTGGGATTAACCAGCTCGCAGTACAACTCATCGCTCACCATATTCTTCGTCTCATACGCAGTGTTTGAGCCGTTGACAAACATTCTCCTCAAGAGGCTTCGTCCATCGATATTCATCCCCATCATCATGTAAGCTCAAGCCGAATCGCCGGCCACCCGAGGCTGGGAGTTCTTTGTTTCTAATCTTGTAGGGTTCTCTGGGGCGCGACCATGACTGGCATGGGTTTCGTACATAACTGGAGCGGCCTGATGGCCGCTCGGTGGTTTCTGGGTCTCACGGAAGCAGGACTATTCCCAGGCGTCAACTACTACCTGTCCTGTTGGTACAAGCGATCCGAGTTTGGTATTCGTGCCGTAAGTTCCGTCAGTTGCTTGCACCCTCCAGAGTCTCCTACTCACGCACGCAGGCCATCTTCTTCTCTGCGGCCGCCATTTCGGGTTCCTTTGGCGGTGCCTTAGCCGCAGCAATTGAACAGATGGCCGGCGTCGGTGGACGACCCGGGTGGGCTTGGATATTCATCCTCGAGGGCCTGTTGACGGTGTTGTTCGGGGTTGCATCTTTCTGGATGGTGCACGATTTCCCTGATGAGGCCAAATTCCTGTCCGAGGACGACCGCCTCCGCGTCATCCGCCGGCTCAGGATGGACCAGCAGGCCTCGGCCGACCATGAAGAGTTCAAGATGTCCTTCTTCTGGCAAGCCGTCAAAGACTGGAAGATGTGGTTGGGCATGGTCATTTACATGGGCTGTGATATGCCGCTGTACGCCTTTAGCCTGTTTTTGCCCACCATTGTCAATGAGCTCGGATGGAATACCAGCACTGTCCGATCGCAGTTGATGACCGTGCCACCCTACGCCGTGGCAGCCGCCTTCACGGTCTTTGTCGGCTGGGTGGCAGACAGGACCCAACAACGCGGACTGTGCAACATCTTCGTCAGCCTGATCGGCATCGTGGGCTTCTGCATGCTCATAGCCACCGAGAGCCCCCAGGTCAAGTACGCCGGCACCTTTCTGGGAGCCCTCGGCATCTACCCGTGCATCAGCAACACCATTACCTGGGTCGCAAACAACGTCGAAGGGGTTTACAAACGTGGCGTGGTCCTGGGATTCGTCATAGGATGGGGCAACCTCAACGGCATCGTCAGCTCCAACATTTACTTTCGCGAGCCTCGCTTCTTCGAAGGCCACGGCGTTGTGCTGGCTTACATGTTCGTATTTTTGTGTCTCGGCAGTGTGCTCATGACGACGCTACTGAGGATGGAGAACGACAAGAGGAGACATGGAAAGAGGGATCACTGGGCAGAAAACAAGTCGGAGAAAGAGGTCGAGGCACTGGGAGACAAGAGACCCGACTTCTTGTACACCCTGTAGCATCAGTTCGTGGGCAGCCAAGCAAGGACTCATACAATTAGAAGGATAATATTACGTATGTACACCGCACACAAAGGGTGTTAAATTCCAGTCAGAAATAAAAGACCCAAGTGAATTATATGTGATGGATGGTTTCTTTGCACAAACTAGTGTGTACTGGTAGTAACGCCGTCTCACTAACTCTACACAAGTCGTGAATAAGCAATGAGCATCATCAATCAAGTCTTCAGCCCTGATGGTCTAGCGGTATGATTCTCCCTTAGGGTTAGAACCCAGTTCTGGGAGAGGTCCCAGGTTCGATCCCTGGTTAGGGCCCACTCACTTTTGCCATTTCACAATAATTTTCTTCTGGATATTCTTTCCGACCTCTGGACTTTTTCTTTCCTTGTGCTTCTTTTTGTAGGGCATTAATTGGTTCTCTTTAAGCAACTGACTAAGTCTTTGTACCTGTACTTATATAACCTTCGGTGGCGGACGGTTGTCATTACAGGACAGTTAGTAGGACATTACCATCCAATCACAAGAGCGCCCTAAGCCTTGGCAATAAGGGTATCCTGTCTGAGATCGCCTGTCAGTCTCAAACAAATGTAACAGTTCTCGAGTCAGTCGAATGGATTCGCGATCCTTTCCCCGAGAGCTGTCTGTGTGACCAGCGTTGCAGGGTGGCCACTGGCCATCGGCTCGATCGCAAGATTGTATGGTCATACGACGGATCTTCTTTTCCTCCACGGTTCCAGGTGGGGGCGGAGTCAAGGGGAAGAAGTTTGCTGTGTACGATTCGAGCAATGACGGGCAACGCCAAGGGTATTGTGAACCTAACCTAACCGATTTCCCTGGATGGCGATCCGAGACTCAGTATTGTGTGAGGGCCACATTCGGGTTCCGGCGACCTTTTGTCCCACACATATACATACATATACAATGTGTGTTCCACTATGCAGTCGTCCACGTGTGCACGCAAGCTAGGATGTTGATTTCCGACAATCCTCACCAAACAGTAACATAGATAGATGTTGATCACAATCGCAATTTTGAGCACATTAAGCTCTAATTAGAGTTGGCCTGAGCTCTTGAAGTTTCTTTCGTCTTAAAAAAGAAGCCACCGTTTTAAACAAGGTACATACACATGTGTCCCATTTGGAGTTTCTAGAGACTGACGATAACCTAAACTGACAGCGGGAAGATTCTGAGGCTTTATGCAACCCTATTTCCAGGGTGTAAAGAACCGTAAGCATGGCATTTGTGGTTTGTGTTGCTACAGACGTTCAAGTACATAGCAATGAGTCTGGATTGAACATTAATCGGCGGCAGCTTTGAAGGTCTTCTAGTACGCTCGGCTCCAGTTCTACCGCTGAGACCTGAAGTAGCATTGAAGCACGCTTTCGAGCTAAGGGCAAGATTTTACACACAATGCAACAGCCCGCGACGTACTGTTCCTATGAAGCTGTAGCTTTCTGTGATTGGATTACCACAAAAAGCCGAACTGAACTTCCGATTTAGAGACGCATAAATCCAAAGGCGCATAGTACCGACACATATTACATGTGCGTATACCAAGCCAAGTCTAGCCGCTGTTCTGCTATCTGTCATGCAATAATAAAATAATTGTGAACCGAATAGCTAGAGCTGGGATTATGTATACTCAATTTAGGAAGATGCTACATCATTTGGAAGTGTCAACAAAACTTCATCACGGGATTCCGGCCCTGTTCTCAAGAGGTTAGATAAAGAGACTACCTGATTATAGGTTAATCAGCACTCGGTACACCTGGACACACATGATCTAACCATCATTTACACTCTCTCCAGTCGCAGTATCAACCAAATGGGAGCTCGCACTAGCAGGTGCTTTTTTGCCGTAAAATGTCCGAGTTCGCTAGATACTCTCGTTTCAACCATGAAATTAGACCAGTACACTGTGTTTATGCCTTCATTTCGACTCGTACTGCTTTGCTGTCCATTCCTGACTCGCGTCATCGTCTCAACTCCCCTCAGCCACATGTTCGACATGGGACATGTGCCCAGCACGCCAAGCAATCAAATCTGCTGAACTATTTCCAAGAACTGACTAGTCTTTGAGTCCATATATCCAGGATACTGAGATCTTGTCGAAAATACGCGCCTATCCCGGAGGCAGCGTGTATTGTTGAAGATCGGCGATTATCGCGGACATAGCTCAACCTGGGTGGGCAGAGAAACAGTTATTGTTTTAAGTAGAGCACAGGTACACGTATACCGTATTAGTCATTTACACTTTTGTGATATAAGTGCAGTTAACGCCGAGCATTATGGACACTGTGTTGGCATTATTCGAATGAAGGCCACTGGATGGTTTGCAGGGCACTGTCACTAGACAAGAACGTTAAATGAGAGTTAAAGCAGGTTTACATTGGTCCTGATCTGGGGGAACGTGCCACCAGGTGCTAAGAATAGTGATATATAAAGCGTTGATTGCTGCACGCAATTAAAAGTGCCGCTTTCCCGACAACAATGACTGCCACCCGATTCTTTAGCTCACGTACGCGCTATAACTTAACCGGTTTAGGGTCTTGGCTGGCCTGGGCGCCCTTGATTGATCCAAGGCCTAGACTGGCTTATAAAGCCCTTCCGGCGTTTTTGGCTCAAGTTTCAATCTATCGGCTCATCTATACAAAGCCCTCCTGTTGGTCACAAGTATTCTCCAAGATGAAACACAGAAAAGCCCCCGCAACTGACCCCTCCCCCTTACTTGATTGAAAAGATAACACGTAGAATTAAGCAGCTCCATCACGGTCACTATGCATGTAACTGTTAGGAGACTAAAGGTATCATATCGGCCTCTAATTATGCCATACGAAGTATGAGTCTCGAAAGTGAGGGTCATTATAGGTGTCCGGCGCAAAATATCCAGGCTGGCGTCCTGATGCCAAGAAGGCATGACTATACCAAGCCCTGAACACATTGACGACTTGATTAATAGCAGCGTGGTCCTTGCATCATCTATCTGTGCCACGATTGACACATGAGGCCAGGGTAGATGACCCCTGCAGGGCGTCGATCCCGTCATCCGGTGACGCCGCCAGGATGATCAAAAGACATAAGAACTGATGATTGTTCTCGAGTCCTGATGATTGAAGCTCGGCAACCTCGTGCCTCTCAGGCTATCGTTCATTACATTCATTCGCTGTCTTCATTATTTACATTCATTCTTTACCTTCATTCGTTTTATTGTTATTATTTTGCGATGCAATCCAAATCTTTGTTTTCCGCGGTCCTGAGTCTGGCAATTATACCCTTTGTCGTAGCAGACACGACAATTACCATCAACGCCCGGTCCAACAACGGTGTATGGGAAGGATGGGGAACCTCTCTTGCGTGGTGGGCACAGGCCTTTGGAGACCGCGATGACCTCGCCGACATCTTCTTCACCACCAATACCGTCAACTTTGGCGGCGTGAACCTCCCCGGTCTCGGCTTCAACATTGTCCGCCATAACGCCGGTGGCTCTAGCACAACGCAGGTTGGCAGCGACGGCATGGTATCTTCCTGGAACGTAAAGCCCTCAAGGCAAGTCACTGGTTATTGGGTCGATTGGCTCAACACCGACCCGGCTTCCGGCAGCTGGAACTGGAATAACGACTTGAAACAACGTACTATGATGGAAAAGGCTCGTGACCGTGGCGCTAATAAATTTGAGCTCTTCTCGAATTCACCCATGTGGTGGATGGTCAACAACCACAACCCTTCCGGAGCCGACGACGGGGGCGAGAACATCCAGTCATGGAACCTTGCAACGCACGCTGTATACTTGGCAACTATCGCTAAATATGCCCAAGATAACTGGAACATCACGTATGAGTCAGTTGAGCCATTCAATGAGCCTTCGGCAGACTGGTGGGTGTCAGATGGCACTCAGGAGGGCTGCCATATGAGCTGGGATTCACAAAACAGTATAATTGGCTCCTTACGATCAGAGCTTAACGACCGTGGACTACAAAACACTATAATCTCTGCCTCGGATGAAAACAACTACGACCAGGCCGTCAAGACCCTCCAGGGGCTGAGCGATGACGCACTCAAGCAGACTGGGAGGATCAACGTCCATGGATACCAGTATGGTCTAGGCGATCGTAGCGGAGTCAATAAGATTGCCGTAGATCGCGCCATAGCGTTATGGAACAGCGAGTACGGCGAGAGCGATAGCTCCGGACTAAACCTTACAAGCAACCTCATCCTTGACTTCCGCTGGCTGAGGCCGACAGCCTGGGTCTATTGGCAGGTCCTCGATGGCGGAGGCTGGGGTGTCATCGACGCCGACAACGATGCGGGTACGGTGGGAGCCGCAAATCAGAAATACTTTACACTCGCGCAGTTTTCGCGCCATATCCGCCAAGGCATGCTGATTCTGGACGGCGGCGCTGATAACGTTGTGGCAGCATATGACAGTGCCAACTCGAAGTTGGTAATCGTTGCAGTCAATTGGGGCGGTCCGCAGAACCTTGAGTTTGACTTGAGCATGTTCACGCAGGCCTCGACAGACGGTACTGTGGTTACGCGGTGGAGAACAATGTTTGGGTCGGGAGACCAGTATATACAGTCTGATGACGTGAAGATGGCTGGAACCAAGTTTTCGGCGCCCTTCGAACAGAACATGGTACAGACTTTCGAAGTCGGCAATGTCAAGATATAGTAGATAGCCCACCCGCCGAGCGGCTAGGTATTTGTCAAGTAATTGTTTATTGATTCCGATTCTCATCAGGTGCTTCAGCTGACTCGGCTATGGATTTGCAAAATTTCGCCCAAGTTAGTAAGGAGCTGTGATGATAATTCTGATTCCAGAGGAAGCTTAAGCGATAAATGACCAGAGCAGGTGTTGATTTAGGTGTTTATGCCCAATCTGGTCTGCAGGCTGGTTCTAAAGCCTGCATAGAGACCATGCCACACGAGACCGCGTAGGTTTCTGAAAAGGCACGGATATGTAAGACTGCAAATTGTATCTAGGTTCCACGGCTAAAAAGGTCCACCGCAAACCATGACCATCGCAGCTCATAATGGGTAAGGATATATAGGCTGAGGGACAAGGTAATAGTCACGCCATTGTGTGGATTTGGAATGATACTCGCGACTTGGCAGCTGAGACAACAGACTGGAATTACACAAATAACGAATGGTCGTCAGAGGTTAAATAGCGAGATGCCAATCTTTCCTTCCGTCAGTGTGATTCAGATCGTAGCGATTACACTCAAAAAAGGTTCCTTCGACCCGAGACAGGCTTCAGCTCTAAGTTCATCGCAGTGATCTAATGTGCGAAACGAGAAACGGAAGACTCCTCAAGC